TTCAAATAAATCCACTGAGGAACTTAACTTTGTGAAAATTTGTTCCCACTACACTGACAATTCCAGAACTTTCTACCCAAAAAAAGAGAGATTAACTATCTTTTCAAAGAAGCAAAAATGTGTACAATGCATTCTATGCACTATATTGAACACCTCCATACAAACAAGCAGGGATACAAAAGAAATTTAGCACTGCTGTTTTTATTACATTCATGCCATCCCACATTGTTGTCCTGGTGTTTTTATGAATACTGCAGAGAAATTTTAACCACACAGTTTTAAAACATGTACACATCCAAATGCAAACACTAGATTTTTTTTTATTTCTATTGTATAGTAAAAATGTAAAAGTGCAAGTATTTGCATACTATAATTAAACCAGTTTTCAAAAAACTGTTTGCAAAGGAAAAACTTCAGCCAGGCACAAAGATTATATGACTGTAAATTGTCCCATAAACCATGCTACATTTTAAAATACTGTGAAAACGCCAGAAAAAAAACCACTGCTTGACAAAGACAACACATATTGCATTTTGTTATAGCATTTCACTGATTGTCTTTCAAATTAATTCAGTACTCTGCTCTGCTGCAGCAGCCCAGGTTTCAGAACTACCTTATTTGTGATTTCCAACCTAATCCAGAAGGGTCAAGAGATTTGGCTAGTTATTTTTCAAAACCACAGCCCCACTTTGGGAGCCATTACTGCAGAACACAGCCCTGTGCTGGGCAGAGGGAGTTACACGTGTGTCCTGAAGAAAGTGTGGAAACGTGACCCATGCTATGATTAACATGCTAGAGGGAAGCTGTTTGCAATAATCATTACATCTGACTTAATTCCCACTAATTAAGCCCAACCAAAACACCGCTCTGAACTCTATTTGAGCATCACTGCCCAGCTGCGTCTCTCAAAGCCCGGTAACTTTGATAGCACACACGATTCTGCAACTCTCTTCCAAAACCGACTGCTACGGCGACAACAAGGGCCGGTGTCTCAGAACGGAATCTCCCACATCTTTTCCAATCTCCCCGAGGAGCAAAGCGGGCAGGCTCGCCACTGACGTGGGGCGGAACACACGTCTCAGAGGAGCATGACCAAACTCTGGCAGCTCAACGCCAGCCCCGGCACTCCAAAGGCAGCGCGCACGATGCGCTCGGGGGACACCTACGTGAGCGCCGCTCAGGCAGGGGCGCGAGCAGGAAGACAGCTAATTAAAACAATTTTTTTTGAAAATTATATAATGGTTAAAAATAATGCGTACGTACACACGAACAGAACACGTCTCCCACCTTGTTTCGGGAAAAAATTACCGCAGACGGGGGAGGAACATGCCTGTCGTCCCCAACCGCCCCCAACCGCCCTGCAGGCACCTTCCGTGGCAAGAAGGCACCGCAGGCCCCACTACCCGGCCGGCACCCCCGGGAAGAAACAGCGGCCGCTGCCTTGTCCCCCTTGGCCCCCTCTTCTCCCGGCTTTGTTGTGGTAACCACGCAGGCAGCCGGGCGGATACTCACAGGCACGGGAGAGAGAGAGCGAGGAGAGAGCCGGGGAGGCGGGAGCTGCACAGCGCTGACGCCGCTCCCTCGCTGCCGCCCCGCTCCTGCG